GCTTTGTCAATGATCTCCGCGAAGGTTGAGTACTGCTCGCGATCACCAAGAACCTGGCTCAATGCCGCACAGGACCTGTGGTAGAACTCACGGCGTAGATGCTCGAATGGTAGGTTCAGATTGGGCACAGCCGCAATCTTTTGCCACTCCGTGAGCCAGTCCCGTGTTGCTGTGTTGCCCTGTGACATGGTGAACAAACGGTTGATGGCGAGTGCCGGCGCGTCGTCGACAATGAACGGCTTCTTCCACAGCCGTGTCAGTTCCTCCCATGTGATTACGTCCTTGAAGTCTGGTACGTCGATGCCGTGGGAGGTTGCCAGGTGGCTCAACCAGGTCTGGCATCCGCCCTTTGAGTTCAGGAACAGGGCGCCGATGTACGCATGCTTGGCTACTGGCAGAATTCTGAGTTGCGTTGTGAATGCTTCCCACCAGAGGACATGATCCTGCTGCGTGTAGTCGTCGAACCTCTCCAGGTTGAAAGTTGGCATCTTGTACATCTTCGGATTGTCGTCCGCGTTCGTCGACTGCAGCTTCTGGACCTCGGTCTTCAATGTATGCAGCTGACTCCTGATGGTGGTGCTCGGCGCAGCGAAGGTGCTGATGTCGCCGAGCATTGCCACTACGTGGTCAACGCGGTCCTCCAGTTGGCGGCTTGAGGGTGCACTGCTGGAAGCTTCGGGAGCTGGTCCTGGTACAGCTTGTTCCAGGTCCAACAATCGGGCATTGAGTGCCCGAGTTGCATCCTCGTGGCTCTGCACTGTGCGGCGGAGTGTCGCCAACTCCTGATGCTGTTGCGTCAGGTCCCGGTACTGTCTCTCCAACTCTGACCKTTGGTAGTTGCAAGCATACAACAACCGCGTCACGAGTTTGGAGAGGAACTCCGTGTGCTTCTCTTCCGGTGTTGCCTCGTCACCGTTCGGTTTAAAATGCCAGTACTTGAGTCTGTCGATGCTGTTGGCTTCATGCCGCTGCAGCAGATCCTGGGCTTCCTTGCGGCGAGCCTGGGCATCTGCGTCTGCATCGGCCTGTAGCCGCAGCTTCTCTGCTGCTGCTGCCTCTTCAGCCTGTACGCGGGCAGCCTCGATTGCCAGCAGGCGTTGTTCCTCAGCCTCTATCTGAGCCAGGCAACACTGCTTGTAGGCGGCAATGGTCTCATTGGCCAGTTGGCCTGGCAGGCCCGTCATGTTGCCGACGTGGCACTGCTGCTTACGTGGCACTGCTGATGTGGCACTGCTACGTGGCACTGTGTCTGACGTGGTACTGCTGACGTGGCACTGCTGACGTGGCAATGTGACCTGGCACTGCTGACGTGGCAATGTGACCTGGCACTGCTGACGTGGCAATGTGACCTGGCACTGCTGACGTGGCACTGCTGATCTGGCATTGTGACGTGGCACTGCTGACGTGGCACTATGACTTGGCACTGCTGATCTGGCACTGTGACGTGGCACTGTACCGAAACGGAATGCATGCAAGGGGGGGGTGGGAGGGAAAACGGAGGGAGGTAACCAACCCAACAAT